TAGTTAGATTCTCAATTGCTCGAATTGAATCTGCTACGTAGAGACCCCAGTCGACAGACACCTTATGTGACATCCAGCCTAGTTTATTGCCCGTGCTGGAGTTCTGTTCTCTACTCTCTTTCTCTGTCTTCTTGCATGGGGACTCCCTATATAGATTTGGCATTTGAATCCCATAGAGAAAAACAGTACATACTTGAAACGCCATCAACTTTCCCAATTGTTCATAACCACAGGGGCCAATAGGGTTCCTCCTTTTCATTCTGTGCAGCCATTGCATATGTTTTGAATGACCAAATATTCTTAAAGATCCTAGGCAAAAGAGAGCTAATACAAAACACAAACATCTTGGAGGACCCTGACATTGCCTTTAAAATTATTTTGTCAAAGGAAAGCTTCAAGTTATTATAAAATTTTACACTTTTCACAAGATTAACTTTTATTCACTCAATGGGCCTTGGCAAGTTAATTCCCTCTCAGTTTATAGCAGTGGTCCACAACCCCCGGGCCATGGACTGGTACCAGGCCGCACAACGAGAGGTAAGCAGCCGGCGAGCTAATGAAGCTTCACCTATACTTGCAGCCGCTCCCCAGCGCTAGGATCACTGTCTCAGCTCCACCTCAGATCATCAGGCATTAAATTATCATAGGAGAACCTGTTCCTGGTACCAAAAAATGTTGGGACTGCTGGTTTACAGAGCTCCTGTTTTCCCCACAGGAGAATAGGCTGTGAGCATTCATGGTTCCCAAAGAACTTGTTTCCTAAAATAGATTTAAAAATTTTTATTAACCAAACATCTATTTTGCAAATCTAGCATTCTCTATTCTCTCTGTATAATGCTGCGCAATGCAGCATCTATCAGAAGGACCATTAAACAATACGGGTAGTGCTTATGCAACACAATTTAATGTCCCAGCAAGAACCAGTGATTTGTTACATGCATTTTGCACCATTGTAATAGATCTTTCCAGATTTTATATGTGCGGAGGGCAAAACGTCACCAGTATGAATTCTTTGCAATAGACTGTGAATTCTTTGTAATACCAAGCCATAGCCTAATGTGTGATATAGAATAGCTGCACAATAACAGTTTATGAAAGAAATGGCATAATTTGGTTATAAATGTCTGTGTTTGCAATGGGTTCAATGATTTTAAAATGTTAAAATTAGAGATCTGAGAGGAGAAGACAATGGACTAAGAGACAATGTTTTCCCTTTGCCCTTCGGCGAAGCGTTGGCTCATTTCACATGCCTTCACATGCCTTCTGTTTCACTTAGGAATCTCAGTCACAAGCAACGAAACCGATTCCAATTGATAGGACCAGAGAAGGCACGAATTGAAAGTACATTAAAGTAGCTCATGGAATAGCTGGGAAGGCTTGAGAAAGAGGCTAGGGCAACGGGCAGGACCAAAGGTGAGCTACCAACCTGAAAGAATTCTCTAATGCTGTGTCTTCCAGATCCTTGGCAGGCGCACATGCCTGACTGAGCCTAGGTTGCGTGCCATGTCATAAGTTCTGAGGGATCTGGGGAAGCAAGTGTCTGGCATCTGCCAGCTTCTAGGATGGGAGGTGGCTCTGACTTAATATGGCTCATAATATGGGAATTCCCCAAAGATGAAAAGGAATTCACAAGTTGGGCAGCCAAAATTTATGAAAGAGTCTGCTACACTTCCAGCTGGCCAAACCTCAGGGTCCAGCATTCTGAATTTCTTCTCTTCTTTGAGTTTTTGCTGTACCTGCTTTGACAATCCTCAACACTGGATAAACACAACCACTGCATATCATGCATCTCAGCTAGTTAAAAACCACTGAGGAAGTACGCACAATTGGTCACGAGTCTTTTGTCTATCTCTAGTAAACTCAGTTTGTACGATGGTTCTAAACCCATCCCTAAACCCTATCTCACGCTATAGAAATTTAATTCTGTACATGTATTTAGAGAGAGGTGCCCCAGGAGATTAGGATGTATACTACTGGTTGGGAAACATGTTTTAGATTTTCCCATTTCCCACAGCTTCTTTACAAACCATTTCTATTTTCCCAAAGAAATGTCATGCCATCAGTCTCAACCTATGACCTTTCCATCAGCCGGAAAAATCTAGGCCATCTGATGCACACTATCAACTTCTCTCTCCTTCAACTCAAACTTTCTTCTTGTCTTTACGCACTCCATCCTCTTGTCCTGCTTCATTATTTCTTCTTTCTAAGGCTAAACTGGCCACCAGTGCTCATGTGGATGCCCTTTGGTCTAATGTGACACCTAATACTTACCTTCCTTTCTTTGACTGCATCTTTAACTTCACTTCCCTGAAGCCCAATTCCTTTTGACCCTGAAACATTCAAGTCTCTCCTGACCTAATAACCCTTCAACTCTACCCTGCTTCCCATAGACCACCTTCCTGTCCTCCCACCCCCACTCCATCTTTCACATCCAAAGATTTGAAAGGAGTGGTTTGTATCCATGGATGCTTCTTCTCCACCTTTTACTCATTCTTGACTCTCTGTAATCTCTTCCAGGTTCATCTTCCACACACGTAATACTCTTCCAGTGTCACCCATGGCTTCCTGACTACCGAAGCCAATGGCCTCATCTTAGTCTGTGTCCTTGACTTCTCAGAAGCATCTGACCCTGTTGAAAACCCTATTCTTCCTGTTGTGGCTTTTGGTAACAACATCCCTCCTGAGTTTTCCTTCTACTTCTCAGGTGATATATTCTCAGCCTCCTTTACTGGGCTTTCTCCTCTTGTTCTATTTTCTCACCCTGGCCATTCCCATTTCTTTAGCTATGCCCTCAAAGTAAATGACACCCAGATAGATATGTGTCACCAATCCTGATTCTTCTATTCTGAAATTCAGATCTTTCCAACTGGTCACTTTCAAAGAGTGTTCAGGCCCTTCTCCCACCCTATCTCCCCTTCTATGACTCCTTTTAAAAAAATTTATTGTGGTAAAATATACATAACATACAATTTACCAACCAAACCACTTTTAAGGGTACAGTTCAATGATATTAAGTCCACTCACATTGTTGTGCTCCTCTATTGCTTTTTAGTATCTATGTGGCTAGATGAAAAAACCATTTCCTGTTCACGTGTTTATTACTGGAGCCTGCCCCACCTCCATCTCACTGGCTGAGCCTGGTGCCGAGCATTGAGAACAAGGGCTCTGCATGCAGAATCTGACCTGAGTTTAGATCCCACCTCTGTGACTCTGGCTAAGACTCTCTCTCAGCTTCTCTGGCCTTTCTTCATCTTGTTATTCTCTACTCCTGTTAGGTACACAGTCACTCCACTGAAGTAATAACAGCTTTGTTTATGTGCGAGCAAACGCATTTCAAAGGACTTGTACTGCAGGAGCTGGTGCTGGAAATGAAGAGGAAATAAAGGATTTGAAGACAGTAATGGGTCTTTGCTAGAGGTAGAAGTCCTCGATATATTGGATTGGGATAGTCAGATCTAGCATTGGCTTAGATTTACGACAAAAAACAGCTTCACCTAGTCCCGTTACGAAAAGGAAGGGAAAACAATCAGTAAAATTGTTTTGGTGACTGTTTCGGTCTTTGGGCAGAGTAGTATTGCTCATCAAATGACAGATCAAACTTCCATGAAAATTGAAAAGGTAATTTAGCTGAATTTTAAGAATTTTCCCAGAAAGGGGAGATCTGGGGATATTTGATGTACATACCTTTAAAAATGCCTTCTTACGTCCTGCATTTAAAGCATCAAGGATCTAAAAAGGATGCATTGGGTTTGTTTTGTTTTGTTTTTGGTGTTTTTCATTTTTTAAAGGCAAGTTTGCTTATGAATTGGGGATTCTAGCAGGTCCCTCCTGAATGTTAAGAAGTATTTTGTTTGTTTTTAGTATTTATTTCCTTTTGAACTGGTCATATCCATTTCTCATATCTTGCCCAAGGCCTGTCACAAAAGATGCATTGTAGCACTGCCTTCTGTTTCAGTAAAGAAGAGGTGAAGTATTTTAGTGAACAGATCCTATTTTCCCTTTTAGAGACTGCATTGAAGTAAAGACCCTCAAAGAATTTCAGCCCAGAACATCACAGGATAATGACAGAACAGATTGCCCTTTACGAAGCACCTTTATATACTTTATCTCATTCATTATTGACTACAGCTATGTGAGGGTAGCCATTGTGATCCACCACTTTTCAGATGAGGAAACTGAGGTTCAGAGTGGTTAAGTGAGTTGCCCAAGGTTTCACGGCTAATAAGTTGTCAAACCCAGCTTAGCAAAGCACCCAGGACTACAAACTCTGCTGTCTTTCTAAGCCACATTTGGCCTCACAGAGGGGTGACCTGTTTTGAGCTATACCTTGTCTGGCAGCCTTGATGTTTGAGGACCCGGCCATCTAAGGCATGTGGGCAAGGCAGCCCTTCCCTATTGGAAATGCCCCCACGTGGAGCCCAAGCACTAGGAATGAGCTAGAAGGCAGCCAGCCGGCACATAACGGCACGTGCTCAGGGCTCCCCTCTTTCTGCCAGAGCCCCCTCGGCTGACATTAGCTCCGCGGAGGCGCCACCTCATTTTTCTTGGGTCCCAGAGAGCGCGTGTCCACCCCGGCGCTCCAGCCGTGCGCCCGCGCCCCAAGTGCCCACCCGAACGCACGCTGCCTGTCAGCACCTTGAGGATCCCCCCGCACCCTCCCGACAACAGCCCGGCAGTCTCTTGCCCGCCTAGAGCCTCCGGGGCCCGCATCCGCGGGTCCCGCACACCCCAGGGGCGGAGCGAGGCGCGGAGACGTCAGGGCGGAGAACGAGCACGAGGCCAGCGCGCCCTCCCAGCGGCTGCCGGCGGCCCACGTTCCTGACTGGCGCGGCTGGCGGCGGCGGGGAGATGCAGTTAGCGGCGGCGCTGGGGCGCAGCCAGGCGGCCGGGCGGGC